AGCATTTTCTAAAGAAACAATATATTTCTTACAGTTTTGAAGTCTGGGAAGTCCAAGGTCTAGGGGGGCTCATCTGGTGAGGACCTTCTTGGTGGGAACTCTCTGCGGTCTCTAGGAGACGCAGATTATCACATGGCAAGGATGGCAAGAGCACTTTTATGTGCTCACTTGCTCTCCTTATAAAGCCACCAATCAGGGCCTGGCCAGTTCGCTCAGTTAGTAAGAGTGGTGCTGTTAACACCAAGGTCCAGGGTTTGATCCTTGTACCCTCCAGCTGTCAAAAAAAAAAGCCACCAATCTACTAACCACCCACTAAGACATTAACCCACTTATTCATGAATGGATTAATCTAATCACAAGGGCATAGTTGTCATGATTCAATCACCTCTTAAAGGCCCCACTTTTCAAATATTATAGTCAGATTCCTCACCCTCTTAACACTGTTCCAGTGGGGATCAAGCTTCAGTGAGTTTTGGGAGGGACATGCAAACCATAGTAGATGGTATGTAAATGCGTGGTTATGATTGTTTACAAGACCTAATTTGCAAAAACAGGCAGTGTGTGTTGTGGGCAGTAGTTGGAGGACTCATGATCTATATCACAGTAGTTTAGGACTGAGCACCTTTTGTCTGTTACCGAAACAAGTTTTCTTCTCATCCTCTGTCCAACTCTCCTTTCCCATCACTTCACTGCCAACTGGACACCATCTGTGTGGAAAGGCATGGTACCTATATACCCTAATTTCCAGTAAATTGGCATTTCCTAAAACCAGCTGATCTTTCTTAGTAGTACAAAGAAATAGCATAATTGAGATCTCAGTTGGCAGGAGCATAAGACTGGGTTTTAGTTTCGATCTAAAATTACATTAACATGAAGGTGTAGTTTCTTCCTGCAGAGGGTTTTAGGGCTGTTTTGCTGAGTTGAGATGACAGGGTTGCATGTTCCTGTTACTTGGTTACAGGAAAGATGGGAATTGTTTGCTGTGTTTGGCACTAGCCTCTCCTTGTGAATTATTATTTAAAATCAATGGAAAGCATTCATTAGACTGATTCTTTATTGAAGTTATTTTAGGAAGTCCATTCCCTGCCTTCAGGAAGGTAGCAAATACTGCCAAATCTCCAGCATCCTGGAAGACGGGGGAAAACGTTCTTTGAGCTGACTTGTTTGTATTTATTCAGGTGGTTCTAATACTAGGCCAGAAATGAACAAAATTATTCAAGGACAGTAGTTATGTAATGCCACAAATACCTCAGTAAAGTAGAACCATCTTCCTAAGGGCTTCTGTCATCAAACGTTTGACATAACTGTAAATCTTGCCCTTCTCTGTCTCTAAGTTGTGGGTGGACTTTTATCTCTTATGGATATTTAGTCTTGACTAGGGTTTCTCAACACTGGCACTTTTGACATTTTGCACTGAATAATTCTTTGTTATAGGGGCCTGACCTGTTCATTGTAGGGTGTTTAACAGCATCTCTGGCCTCTGCCCACTAGATGCCAGTAGCATGACAACCAGCAATGTCTACAGATAGTGCCAGCTGTCCCCTGGCAGGCAAAATTGGCTGTGGTTGAGAATCACTGTTTTAGACCAGTCAGCTGAGAGCTGTTGCTGAGATCAAATATTTTCACAGTTGACTCTCATAAAGACAGACAAATCATGTCATCCAAGGTCTATTTAGGTCAGGAACAAGGTTGAAGACCCAAGGGAGTTGGGAGGGAATCTGTAGGTCCAAATCCAAAAGTTAGTCTAAGCCGTCAGCCTGTCTTCTTTGGTTAGATGATGAGGGCAAGACTAGCAGAGTTGCTTGCAGGGATGAATACACTTAGAGCTGCTGTGGTTCAGCAGACCAGACCAGCCAGAAAAAGCCTGGAGTTCTGAGATATGGTGCTAGGCCTGCTCCCTCTTGTTTGTCCAGTATGTTCATGTAGCTGAAGTGAAGGAAAAGAAAGAATTGCTCTTGGTTTTGATAAGTTCCCTGCTTTCTAATCCATGCTACTTTAAAAGGTCTCCCTTTGGACCAAGATCAAATTCTTACTATACAAGGCAATTTTAGATAGTAGTAATTTGTAGGACTATTGTGTTTTGATATGATCAGAGAGGTAGTTATTCTTTCAGCTCCGGGGAAGAAGTGTTTGCTTGAAATGGAAGTTGCAATTTGTATATAGTCACACCCTACATAACAGTTTAACTCATGGCGAAAATATCTGGACAGTTTGTTGGTGCTGAAGCTATGTGATAATTCTTTGGGACAGGACCACACTACTCAAAGTGTGGTCCCCGTGCTAGTAGCATCACTAACTTCATTGTGCTTGTTGCAAGTGCAGGATTTCAGGACTCACCCAGACCTACGCATCAGACCTTTTACAAGTCCTGCAGGCAATTGGAATGCATGCTATAGTTGATAAAATGCCATTCTAGGCCAGTTTTTGAATGCTTCCCTGTTCTCACAGGTCCCTACCATTCCTGCTAGCTCTGGCTTAGTAAGAATAAGCAAGTGGCCCAGTCCCATCTTTTTGTTTCCTTTTATAGCATTTTAAAATTGAAGTTGGTGTCTTTATTAAAGTAATTTTATTTAAAGATGATAGATTCACAGGAAAGTCATTCCCAGTCTTCCGTACTTTAACCTTTGGAGGTGATACATTCCATAGCTGATTAACAAATATTCACCCTTCCATTGAGAGTTGATAGATAGATAGGGGTAGATAACCTTCCAGTGCAGTTTTCTTTGTTCCTTTATTAAATGGAGAGAGGCAGTGATGCAGATATTTCAAAGACCTGTTTTTCCCATATAAAAATGTATGGGGTTTTTTTCGACCCTTCCATTGAGAGTTGATAGATAGATAGGGGTAGATAACCTTCCAGTGCAGTTTTCTTTATTCCTTTATTAAATGGAGAGAGGCAGTGATGCAGATATTTCAAAGACCTGTTTTTCCCATATAAAAATGTATGGGGTTTTTTTCTAATGAAAAAAGTTGAATCTAACTTTGTCTAACTTGTGAATCTTAGGCCATAATTATTTCCATTTGGCACTCTATATTTTGACAGATTTCTTAGGGTTGTGTTTAGTTTGTAATGTATTTGCTTAATGAAATTTGAAATACTAGTGACTGTGTAAACACCTTCTGCATAATGAGAAGTAACTTGTTTTCAAATAATTAAAACAGCGAATCCAGTATGCAAAAACTGATTCTGATATAATATCTAAAATGCGTGGCACTTTTGCTGACAAAGAAAAGAAAAAGGAAAAGAAAAAAGCTAAAACTATGGAACAGACTGCAACAACTGCAAACAAAAAGCCTGATCAGGTAAGATAAACAAAAGTCAATATTTTTTTGGTGTTATAAACTTGATAGATGCCTGTCTTACTTGTGAGGGATGATCTTTGAGGCATATATGTGAATGTGTGCACATATGTGTTTCCAAGGTGGAATTTTAAGAAGCTGGAATGTCTGGGTTCTAAAATTCCAGTATTTATACGTAAGCAACAAATTAAAATATAAATCTTTACATATGCAGATTTATATTAATCTTTTTATTCTAATTTGCATGGCATTTAATTTCATCATTCCCCAGAATATGTTGTTATCTATTAGTTATTTCTCAAGTTCTGCTACCTGTGAATAATACTGTAGATACTATCTTTAGTCATGAGCCCTTCACTCAAAGCTTCTTTTTTTTGGAGAGTTCAGGAATGCAAAATCTAATTTGAAATACAAGATAAAAGTGAAATTATCCTCCAAAAAATAGTGATTTCTGGATTGAAAGTGACTAGAAATCAGTTTCACTAAGTATAATGCTTGACTTATGTCCAATTGTTTTTTGTTTGTTTGTTTGTTTTGTCCTTTTTGAGCCCAGCCGCACCGCGCTCAGCCAGTGAGTGCTGTGAGCGCACTGGTCATCCCTATATAGGATCCGAACCCGCGGCGGGAGCGCTGCTGCGCTCCCAGCACCACACTCTCCCGAGTGCGCCACGGGCTCGGCCCGTTTGTTTGTTTTTAAAAAAAGAAAGACTCCTTGGCTTTTCTCTCATATATTTTTCTGTAATTTTAATGCTTAGAAGTTAAATTTTATGATACAGTTTTTAAAGTTTAGGGCATTACTGTCAAGTTAATGTTTGAGTCAGAGTTAAGATGTAAATTCTTTTTTTTGACCGGTAAGGGGATCGCAACCCTTGGCATGGTGTCGTCCGCACCACGCTCAGCCAGTGAGCACATCAGCTATCCCTGTGTAGGATCTGAACCCATGGCCTCGGTGCTATCAGCACCGCACTCTCCTGAGTGAGCCACGGGGCCGGCCCAAGATGTAAATTCTTAAAGAAAGTAAAATTAAATGGGATAAAAAAGTCTGTTGAAATTAATGTTATTTTTATACAGTAGTTAAAAATACCTGCTCCTTTTTTTTGGAGGGATTGAAAATTTTAACTATTTTACTATTTCTTTTGTTTAGGGAACACTTAATTCAGCTAATATGCAAGGAAACTCAACACCAAATCCTCAGGTAATATTTTTCTGCTGCAGTGCTTAGTTTGAAATAAAATCATAAAAATTATAGCAATAATATAAAACACCTTGCATGTTTCTAAAAAAATAATTTCATTTAAAAGGCACAGTACATTAAATTGTATCCCACTTGAATATAGAAACTCCTCAAAACATTTTAATTTTCTTTAAAGTGGGAGAAAACAAAACCTGACTTTATTCCTTGCTTCCTATAATGAACCAAGGACAGAATTAAAATGACGAAATTTAAACTCTGAGAGCTGGGAGCAGACAGTTTTGTTTTCTCTCTGCATTATGTAGCCAGGCTTTATATACATGTGGCTCAGAGTAACTGGTACAGGGAGGGAAGTTACTCCGTTCCAGTGCACTGAAGCACTGCACCACCTTTATAGTAGACTCACACACCCTTTAGGCAACGTAGTTTTACACTTACCCTTGCTCTCACTTCCTCAGCGCAAATATGCTACAGTCTTATTTATTTAAGCCTCTCTGTGTAAAATGTTTTAGAAACTCCTTACCAAATCTCCCCACTAAATGCCTCAAAAAGAAAGCCTTGATTATGTGTTGTTTCAGTACTTGCTTTCTCTGATGCTACTCTGGCAAAGTCCTTAAATCCAGAGAATTCTCTATTTCACTGAGGTTTTTCTCCTTTGAATATAAGTTATTTGCCTTTTCTTATTTTATCTACTTCCCTTCTTTGAACTCTTTCACCATTTATAGTCCAGTTCACAAGTGCCAGCACTTAGTTCTCCAAGCCTCAAGTTGTCACTAATTGTTCTTTACACTTGGCTTTTCTTATGTACAGGACCCTTTCCTGTAGTTCTTCATAACCACAGGGTGGAGTATCAAATAAATAACTTAAAATCTAATAACAGTGCTTCTTTCTATTTATTTGTATGTAACTAGATGTTCTGCATACCTCATTTACTTGCGAAAGTAAATTAAAATTCACCAAGTAGTGGTTCTCAGTGGTAATTTTTCTAGTTCCAAATTTTCTTACATGCTGGAAGGTGGTAGTAAATAATAATCCAGAGGAAACGAGTATCTGAGTGAGATAGCCAGCTCAGAAGTAACATAGCTTTCCTCTCTAGTTTTGTTAGGATCTTTCAACTATGTAATCCAGATGACAAAATTCTCCAGTTATACTGACCTCCACATGCTTAAAATGTAAATATTACTGTAAACATTGTTAATTAAATACTTAAAACCCTTAATAAGATTTGTGGTCTTCCAGATGCGGGATGTCTTGACGTGAATGTCTGCTTTGCTTATTAGTTACTGTTACGTTTATATTAATTTCTCTCATGTCATTGTTTTTCAGCTTTAGTGTATGATGTAAGATTTCACAAATCTATATAAACTGGTATGTGAGCTTACGATGCTGCTTACACTAACAAGCTAATTTTGCCTCTTTTCCTTTTTAATAGGTTCCTGATTATCCTCCAAATTATATTTTATTCCTTAATAACTTACCAGAAGAGACTAATGAGATGATGTTATCCATGCTGTTTAATCAGTAAGTCTTTTCATAAACAAGTCTGTTTCCAAGAGTCTCCTGACAAGACAAATAGCACTTTCATGGGTTGAATTCGTTGTCATCACACAGTAGTAATTCCTTACAGGTTCATTGGTTTGGTCTGAAATTAATCATGGATTGAAGCCAATCTGCAGATTAAGCAAATAAAAAGACAAATTTCCTCTAATGTTTGAAGTATTAATTCTAATTGATGAGTAAAACAGGAAGCAAAGCTTACATTATTTCTGCAGTTCTTTCATGGTATTAATTACATTTTAGGCCCTTCCATTCTACTCAGGATTCTTGGTAGGATATGATTACTTTTCCTGGACCAGTGTCAGGAAGTTGATTAAGTTTAAACACAAAGCAGACATTTTATATATTTGCATGTACATATGAATTGTTTTTCTTCTTTATAGGTTCCCTGGTTTCAAGGAAGTACGTTTGGTACCTGGGAGACATGACATTGCTTTTGTGGAATTTGAAAATGATGGGCAAGCTGGAGCTGCCAAGGATGCTTTACAAGGATTTAAGATCACACCATCCCATGCCATGAAGATCACCTATGCCAAGAAATAACATTTGTTATAGTCATCTTTAAAGGACTTGGTATTATTTATAGAGTTTGTTTTGATAACGTCTGGTAGGGTAATTTTAATAGTTGGAGGTGGGGGGGGTAGAGAAAGTGAAATTTTTGTAAAAGACTTAAAACATTACTCATTGTTTCTTTAGCACTGGTGAACTATGAAATGTGAAGGCCTTAATTTTGTACAATAAACTTTTATTTGTATTCTCTCTATGTAATACTTTGTTTATTGGCTATTGCCCTATCATCAAATGTTTATTGTAGTGTAGAACATATCTTAAGGTGTATAAAACTCTAATTGGATCCTTTTCTAGTGTTATTTTGGAGCAGCTAATGATACAGCAACATTGACCCATTTTAATAATAAAGGAGAATTAGATCACAGAAACTAATAAATGACTGTTGTATTACTGGCAAGAATGATCATTCTGAATACTAGAAGAAAATGAGACCTGAGAAAGATCTAAATTTGATCTTTGTATCCTTCACAGAAATGAGCGTAGTATTTTGCTGGTAGGCATTCCATGAATGTTTTCATTCAGTTGAGTAAAGGCCATTTAGAAGTAACTATACTTACTCTTCTCTGGGACAATAGAGAGAATGCTGCGTTAAAACTTTACATTTTATGCTCTTTCCCTCTTGAGGCAGGACTCTTCCTAAGGAATAATGTTTGGTTAATATCCAGTCTCCTTAAGATTTAAGATTTTACAATCTAATCATTTTTTAAAGACAATTAGGTTGACAAAGAGTTGTCAGTGCTACTCTTACTACCTCCTATGTAATTCCTAAACACCAATGTACAAGTATTCCCAGAGCTCATTTTCTTTGGCATTTGATTTATACTTAAGGCTATTAATTCACTCCTTTGCTAAAACCATGGGTATCTTTAGGAGTGAATAATTTTTTGCAAGTGTATACATATTAAAGAATATTAATCATTTTTTGCTGTTCCTGTTTTAGTATTTCCTTGAGCAAAACTTTTCCTTATCACTTAGAATTTTTGTTATATACTTATGGAAAGACCACTTTTGGACTTACAAAGAGATAGATTATTATCACATCACACTTGTGCATACATAAAGAGGAAAAGAGCAAAACAATTTTTTATTCCTAAAACTTTGCCACATTCGAGTCTGACTCTTCTGAATAACTTTTTTAACCCAGTTGTTAAGCTCATGTATTTTAAAATATATATTAACAATGAATTACTAGGTGCTCTTGGATGTTATAACAATACAATGTCAATTGCTATTACATTTTGATTGCCTGCTCTCAGTTACTATGCTTGTCTCAGAACAGAAAATATTTCACAGACAGAAATATTGAAATCCCAGGTCCTAGAACATGCTTTGAGTGGCTGTATTAGAGGAAGTAGAAAGGCTAGGGTGGCTGGAGTGGGGTGAGAAGGAGGCAAGGGGAGAGTATAAAAGGGGATTGTGTGGGCCTTTTTAAGGACTTGTTTATATTCTGAGTGAACTGGGGAGCTATTTTAGAGGATTTTAAAAGTTGAGTTATTTACACACAATAAAATTCACCATTT